GATTAAAATCAACATGTTTTTAATATATTTTTGCATTTCCCTTAATCTTTCGCCAGCCTTCCGCTGTTTCTTCCCAAGTCACACCTTGAGTGACTGAAAATTGCTTCGAAATCTTAACTGATCGTTCAAGCGCAACTTTGTCTTTCGTGGCATTTGAAACATCATCATCCAAGGCATTGCACGATAGATTTAGTGAACGTATATGTGCTGATACTTCTCCGAAATAATTTGTTGCTACTGATTTGTTGAGGGCAGTACTCAAGACAGAGGGCACACTTTTTCCTATTACGGACCGACATAGGCTGGTGAATAACATTTTATTTTTTTTCCTTAAACTCAACGCAGTTATTTCCAAAAGAAGCCGAATAATTTAGGGCTGTAATTACGGCAAGTTCTTCCATAAACTAAAAAAATTTTTGAGCGAGTAAATGGTAGTTAAAAAGAGGTCATGCAAATTAAATAGAGAGGATTCATCGAAAGATTTTCATTTGCGTTATAATAAAGACGATTTAAAAGGCTTCCAATAAACTTTGAAACATTTTTACAAGTATCTTTCGCAATCCGACATTTTTCAATTAGAGGGCGCGTAAGAAAAAAAAGAAAAAAAAAGCGCAGGTATACTTTCGAAAAAACAACGGAAATAGTTTGGCTAATTCCGTTGGCTAAGACTGTCACGACAATGTTTTCTCAAAAACAGACAATGATCTTACGGAAAGTATTATTCACTCTCATCGATGATTAATTAATGTACGAAGACTGACCTCTGTTCAGTAAGTAAATGGCAAGTTAATTAATAGTAGAAAAATTCAATTTTTTGTTAATTTATTTATTTTGTAGTTGTGAGAGTTTGCTCGTTTGTTTACTGCAATGGCGTGTGTAATTTGGCCTCTCCTCAACGAAAACTAAATTCAAATGAGACACTTCAACTAGACACAAGAGGATTTAATGCGGCTTTTTCTCATTGAATTCCTTCAGTTTCTGTTATGCAATGTACGGTATAAATGTCCAAATTGAACGGATTTGGAAAGACTCACCGATTTTTGCGTTTTGGTTGATTGCGACAAAGATTTTTTAAAGACTTGAAAGCCGAGGGACGGAGCATGGTAAAACCATTAATCATCAGATTTATGTATACTGTTTAATGTTAGTTTTGTAATCATGTTGAATAACCCAACATCCTCTTCGAGCTTTCACCAAGTTGTTAGTTATTCAAGATTAACTGCGTGATTTTTCTTCTAACGGAAATGTTGTGGACTTCACTATTCATGTAATTAACGAGCTTAGTATTGTTGACGAAATAATCTCGTCTGGATTTTCCGAGAGAAATGTTTCCAGGAAAAGCCGTAACGACAAACGTGAAAAATTATCGTATTTTTTTCACGTGTTTGACATCGTCAATCAGCTGCTTCCTCGTCACTCACCTTTCGTGCCTTTCGTTCAGGTTGATGATAAATGAACGGCAAAGCCTTCACTGTTCTCAATCCAAGGTCGTTTGTCGGAATTTTTTTCTGATTATGGCTGCTAAACACTAAGAAATCTGTATCGCTTACAGACAGTGACGTTCAAACTTTTTTTAGAAGGGGAGGAAAACCAAAATACGGAAAGAAAACCGAAAGTTACGTATTCGGAACTTCGGGCGGTATCGATTCACGGCCGCTCGCTCTGGGATGCTTTGCAAAATAACATTTTCATCGAGTACAAAAAAATTATGAATAGAAGAAACTCTTCTAAAAATGCAAAGATAATGAGTTGCCTTGCGTCATATTAAAACATAGCACTGCAGCGATAATCAGCACGTCGTGGGTTACACCGAAATATCACCATAAGTTAACCAATTTCTAAACATTACAATGGCATACAACCTCTCCAAATGCCGCTGAAAGATGGGTCTGTTCAAAAAGGCTCGAATATTTTGGCTGTGATAGCCTTTGGGGAATCTGGTTTCTTTCCACTCCTGGTGTTCTTTCTTAGCTCCATTCACCATTCCTCTCCACTTTTCTTTCACCTCCATGGTACGTTCTTTTGGCAGCTCCGGGGGCATTGACTTTGTCAATTATTACCTCCTCTGCTCGACTTTTGCTTTTGTTTGAAAGTGTCGTGAACAAATTTACTCTTGATTATGTCAATATTTTTTCCGCCTCTTCGAAAATAACTGTACATTTGGCAGGTGTAAAGTCTGATTTCCTGGCGCGCTTTGCCAAAGAAGGAACAACATTTTCTTCCATGCTGTCTTGCCACTAGCACGCGCAAGCGAAAAGATCACGCAACGCCCGGGTTATCACCATGGCAACTGCCTGGAAAGCTAGTTATCCATCGGATAGTTATCGGCCTCGCTATTCGTGCTTTCTCCAACAGCTTTTCATCCGCTGGATAACTATCCAAGTTATCTAAGGGCCAATTTGTGTAAAGCGCTGATAACGCTATCCAACCGATAAATCACTATCCGGCGGATAAGTGATAGCAAAACGTATAGCGTTATCCACCGGATAGAGTTTTATCCAGCGGATAGCATTATCCAACTGGGATCAGATAAGCTTATTCACCGGATAAGCTTCTCCAGTGGATACATTTATCCATCCGTTAAACAACCGGGGCCAGGAGTTCTCCTGTGTGTTACAAAACTTCATACACTCAATATAAACAGTGGGATTCCTGATCCTATTGTGGAGTTTTAATTACTTTGGATAAATGTGGACTAATTTTTTGTCTTTACTTGTCTCGGTCATACCCTGTTTATAAACTTCTCTTCCTTATTTTTATTTGTTCAAAATCGGTTCAGGCAGTAGTAGAAAATTGTATGTTGTGTCGGGCTAGGAAAACACGTCAGCAGTAATGAAAGGTGTGGGTGTCATCTAAAAAAAAAGACCACAACAACAACAAACAGACAAAAACAAAACGAAACAAACAAAGAAAAGTAGCTACTCTCTCTGCTTTGTATGGTTAGTGTAAAGGGATAATGCTAAATAACACTGTTTGTCAAATAATTAATTTCCGTGAAATGGTTAAGTCATAAAGAAAAATTTAGCCAACATTGGCTAAGTTAGTCAGCTGCTATCGTTAATACTCGGAAAAGGAGATTATTAGTTATTCTAATCATTAGGAAGTTATTCAAGAGAGGATTAAGTATCACGCCCATAGTGGATCGAAAAAAACAATTGACGAGATGATTCATCTTATAGTTCGTATATGGCACTAACAGTGTGCAAACATATTTCACATGCCATAAAGCCACTATTTAACTGAATGCATGTACCGCCTTGAGTTACTTCGCCATGTGGCTCAGTTCAAACAGACTAACTATTCGGGAACTCAGAAAACCAATTGCCTTGAGCATCTCTTTGTGGAACCTGCTAAACAAGAGCGAGAGAGACACGGGGTGGAATTCAGATTAACCTTAGCTTTGAACAACGGATTACTTGGCCATGGAATAGAAAAATTTACCGCAAAACACGATGTCTCCCACGAGAAGCTCAAACTTCAAAGATGGATTAAAAGCGAATCAATAAAACGTGGCTGTTAGCATTTTTTACATTGCATGTATACTAGGCACGAACGCATTTGGCAACTTTTTCATTAAAGCGGAGCAGGAAGGTTCTTTACAAAGCCTCAAATCATGGCTCATGTCAATTATTGTTAACATTAAATCATCTATTGTAAACAGAATTCATCCACATATCGCTTAAACCAAGTTCACTGCAATTGTTTGGCTTCCTAGCAACCTCGATGACTCGTTCATCTCGATCACAGCATTTAAAGTAATTCACGCTGACAGTCTATAAATACCATAAACGTAATTAATTAAGAGCGTCTTCACAGAAAGTATTTTTTCATCAGTTAGTGCTTAAAGGAACTTTCATTTTTATTCAACACAACACTGTATAATTGAATAGAAAGTGCTAAAGCAGTCTGAGAAATCTTAGATTCTTTTCAGGCTAAATACAACAATGTTTTTGGGTCAGCAGTATATATCGAAAAGAGTATTAATGGTGGAAGCTTCAGATAAAAAGTAAAAATACATTCGTGCTTGATACACGTGCGTGTGTTTGGTTTTGACAGTCTTGTGTTAGCTCGACCAGGACGAAATTACCTGTTTACAAGTGCAGAATTGAAGGGCCTGATACACATATCATACCACGATTTGCAAACAATTTTGTTTTTAAAGCTTGAGCACACTGTGGGAGGCAGTTGTTTAGTGTTTTACGATATATCCTGCTCTCGTTTTGCTAACTAAAACCATTTACGTAAAGAGTGATGCTGGTAAGCAAAATGTTTAGACTAACATGTAGATGTTTTTTGTTTATTTATTTATTTATTTGTTTATTTGTTTTGTTTTGCTCTTGTTTCGCTTTGTTTTGTTTTTGTTTTTTTTGTTTTTTTTTAAGGCTGATTATTGAGTATGCTTGCTTGTTAAATGAAAAAAGATGCACTATATTTTCTTTGTTCAGTCAGTAATTTAACACTGTACTTGGCCGGACATATAGCGCCCACCGCACTTTAGATATTGCAATGTATTCAGACACTACGAAACCATTTCAAACTTACAATCGATGCAGCTATTTTTCAGTAAACAAAGCCGAAATTAAGTTTTTGTGTAGTTTAAGTGAGGTAGTTGAAAATGGAGTTTAATAAAATTAGTACACAACAGCTATTCTGCTTGTTCTACACACTAGCGTGTAGGATCCAACAGTGAAATACATCCGTATTAAGAAGGATACTGGAACTTTGAAATGAAACTTATCACCAACACCGAATATAAGACAACAACAACAACAAAAACCAAGAAACAAAGAAAAAACCCAATAAAGAGAACAATAAACTATTTACGTTTTAGATCCATACCCAGAGCGACCAAAAAGAACTGTTTACGTTCAACTAAGCTTGCTTTGGATGCTATTTAACTTCAAAGAATATTAGTGTCAGAGCAATTTGTTTCTGCCTTCCCAAGGTGTTATCGGCTGATAAGGTTAATGGGTGTGTCTTTTTTTAATTTTTACATTCAGCTTTCGAGAAGTACTTCCATGGTTCCAGGTACATTTTCTTTGGGAGAAATGGTACCCGATACAATTGGGTCGGAAGCAAAAGAATCTGTAATGAACAGTCTGGATATAACCTTGTTTCAATCGAGAGTCGTGAGGAATGGAACTTCCTGAGGCAAACCATTCAAAGAGAGAATACCACTGAATACTTCATAGGGTTGTGGGAAGATACATCAACTGGAGTGTGGAGATGGTTAAGTGATAACAGCTCAGTGAATGCGTCCAGCAGAGGACATTGGCCCTGGGCAAGAGGAGAACCTAACAACAGAGGTGGTGATTATGAAGAGAACTGCGCGCAAATGTACAGAGACTATCGTAATAACTACGGGCTCTATAATGATGTCAGCTGTACTTCACCCAAATCTTATGCAGGATTCATATGTGAATTGACAGGTGCAGGACATAATAGACTCTTAATTCTCACTACACGAATCTGAGAATAAGAATAAGTCAATCGTATTACGGCTCAGTCCTTCTCTCGAAAGTCAGTTACACCGCAGAAGATAGTTAAAAAGATTACATGACAGTATAAAAGAGAAAAAATCAGCAAAGGCGACGGCGTCCACCATATGTGGTACCTATAAGCGTTGTAACTGTTGAGGACTTGAGCTATCCAGCAAATATGTCGGTACGATGATGTGAATCAATGCTGAATCAAGTTATAAGTAAAGTAAAGTGGCATAATCTTCCCCGACTTACTCTCTGAAACTCCTTCTTATCTTTAACTTTAAATTCATTCATGAAGGTAAATAAAGAAGAACAGACAAGCCTTAGTCAATATTATTAGCCCCAAATTAAATGGGGAATGGAAAGGAATGTTACTATTACCATTTAAATAATTGATTTCTAATATCTATATCATTTTATCATGTTAATTTTTAGGCTTGCCGGGCCAGCCATCCTCACTCTCTACAAATTCTGTTTCACCAAACGAAATTGTCATCTCATGGAGCGCTCCTACTGATGTAGGAGATGGAATAACAAGGTACTGTGTTAAGTGGCAGGCAGCTGGAATATCTCACATTCAACAAAGAGTAGTTACAGTGAGCAGATCTGCGACATTGGACAAGCTAACGCCTTACACATGGTTTGACATCCAAGTGAGAGCAGAAACTGATAAGGGAAGTGGCCCTTGGTCAGTATCACTAAAAGTGAGAACTAACGAGTCAAGTGAGTAATGGAGTTACCCATTAACATGTAAAATGATAATATGTTACATGTTAATTACCATTATTATCAATATACGCGGCCAAATAGAAAATCGGCCTCTTCAAAACACACGCTCAGCGGGCCGCAAAAGACTGACAGCGGGCTGCTAATGCATTATCAGCCCTACAGCTGATTGGTTCTTGCTTCATCATCCGATGGATTTTAACCAATTAGAGTAAGCCTAGTGTTGACGCGGGAAAACCATTCATTTGCAAAACTCCGGTTTTGAACTGCAGTTTTTTCAGTCGTCGAATCGTCTTCGAGCGAAAACTGAAGTAATGGAAGAAATTAGCAGTCAAAACTCAGATTTGGGGCTAGAAGATTTGGACAAATTAGAAGCAAAAGGTCAGGCGGAAAATATTGTATTATTAAAACTCGCATTCTTGATATCATTTGGCCTTGTTTATTGATAATAATGATAATGACATGACTTTTTTCGGGAATATTGTTTATTTGCGCCCTTGTAGTGGGCCGCAAATGACACTACGCGGGCGCAAATAAACAATGTTCCCTCAAAAAGTCATGTTATTCCCTTAGTAGCATGTAAAATAACAATAACGCAGGTTACTCGACCCTTTGACCCTAATGAGTGACAAGCTTTTTATTTCTCCTTACAATGTTACCTCTGAATCAAATACGAAGGTCAAGAGAATAAAGGAAACGATCATCAGCTGAAGAAGCTCATAATTTTTAAACAAAATCTTTGTTGCACCCCAGGAAATGTAGAGAGAGCAGTATGGAGAATATGCATACTGATGTTAGGGTGCTAGGGTGTGTTCACTCCTATCTCATTAGTAATTCTCATCGCTATCTACCCTTCAATTCTAATGATGGTATTTCAGTGAATTTGATATCTGATCAACTAATAAACTCCTGATTGATACTCTTCTTCATCTTCTCCACTTGTCTACTGTATTATGTTTATATTGTAAGGAGAAATTCTTTCTTGGTTACCTATGGGAGTTAAAGTGTTAATAAATGTCGTTAGTTCTTTTCCCACAGTTCCAGCAGTGGTAAAGGTCGATGACCTCGAGAAAGGCATCCTTTATCTGCCAATCGCTATTTCAGCAGCATTGTTGTTTATAGTGATGATCATCCTCACCGTGGTTTTCATACTGCTACGAAAAAACCATCAAGAAATGGGTACTTGGATTTTGTTTTCTTTTTTCTTTAAATTAAACTTGACTTTTAGTCATCTCTATTATCAAGGCAATTTAGGGGCAGGCTTGATCAACATATCATTCAGTAATAATTAAGCAATAGTTTTTAAAAAAGCGATAAAACTTTTAAGTCTGTAAGACATGTTTCGACAGAAACTTCTGTCATCTTCAGTTAACTAATATACAAAGGGTTGGAAATTGAATTGGTAATATATGTTTCTTTAAATTAGTTACTTGCCTGCTAATATCAAGACCCTTTTTAACAATAGTTCTAGATATATAAATATATGTAATTGATAAGTAAGCCAAATCTAAGAGTAGTGAGTAAAGGTGAAAAAAAAAAAATAACAACAGTGATGAAAAGCAAAAAAAAAAAAAGAAAAAAAGAAGAGAAAAGAAAAACTGAGTTGTAGCGAAGAAATAAATTACAACCTCTTGCTCTAAAGTGTCCTGGACATACAATGCTATGCTGGCTTGTAAGACCGACTGGTTCTGGAAAAATCATACCTAAAGGATCATGAAATCACGCAACGACAAATCCGAGTAAAGTAAACGTATTAAATGACGTGCCCAAAGGAAATAGTTGGTCACATTATCAATAGGCTGCGCGACTGCCTCTTAGCTGGGTAAGTTGTTAATAAGTCACCCGAGATACCGAGTACATGTATATGTTTTTACTTAAATGCTGCCGGACGAACCGACAAATCCTAAGTCTGGCGCCAATTTTTTTCCTTCTTTTTTTTTTTTCTTTTTTCCAACAACCTAAGTTGAACCCTTTTGAAGAAAACAAAAGTCATTTATTTCTGTGTTTACTGCTAACGGTGGTGCTTTATTTTACCCGCTAGCCTCAAGAAAAAAAGCTGTCAAAATGTAAGTTACTTCAATCTGTGTCACTTTTATTCGACATTTATTCAGCCTGGAGCACATGTAAATCAAGGCCGAGTTTATCCCTTAAACAATACATAAAAATTAATGATTCGTAAGGAATACATTTTCTCTGTGGCATCCATTTCAACTATTCAAGTGTAATAAAGAGTTTTCGGCTGTTTTGGGAGGGTAGAACACTTACCCAGAAATGCAGAGACAGGTGGCTCTATGCTTTAAAAAGTGACGAAAGCCAGACAGCTAATGCAGCTGTAGCTGCATAAAAGCCACTGGACAAGAGCCTAAATAATTTTTTTCGATAGGCTGAAACTAGGTTTTTATGCCCATCGATGCAGAGATCGTCATTCCTATTCCAGAGTGGATTTGGCGGTTTCTCGAAGGCCATCCACTGTCACTAGAGCACAAGGCATCCAAGCTGTCTATTAGAGAACAATATTGTAATGCTTTAAATGGCTCTGCTCTGAACTCTGTAGATTTTCTAAGCTGAGTAGAAATCATATTCATGAATCTTCACCAAATAAATGTGGGGTGCTGGTCGTTGTTAGTTGTTAAAACTTGTCAAAGTTTTTTGCATTCTTGTTGCCAGTCAGTCTTATTGCATTTTCAAAGATCATTAATAATAAACCTGGACCTTTTCTCTCTTTTCTTTTTGTGTGTTTATTTCTTTTCGCTCTTTATACAGGAATCAACGTGACTTTCAAGAGAGTTTGCCATTAAATGTTTTGAATGTTGGTGCCCGGCTAGAGTTTGCTTCGGGAAATGGAACCGGGATTGAGAGGTTCCATAGGGAACCGCTAGTCCAACAGGAGGGTGTTTACACCGAACTGCTTCCGGAGTCAATGATGGTAATTATACTTATAACTAAATTAAAGCTAACCAATATGAGCCTCATAAAAAAGGGAAATAAAGGATGTGCGATACTTCCTTTTTTTTACTTTTTAGCTGTTCCTCTTTGCTCTTTGCATGTGCTCCTTTCCCTGCACCTATATTGCTACTCTGACGCACCTTGACTGTGGTCTTTTAGCATAAAACTTTCCATACATAAGTTTGATTGTTTTATCCATTTACCATTATTATTTATTCAATTTTATTCATCCGTTTATGTCCTTGTTTTCCTTTATATCTATCTCAAACATCACTTGTTTGATTAAGACCATTTTAGGAATGCCGAGCAAAGAGATCTCATTTGGAAAAAAAGGCAATAAATTTTGAGCGCAGTATCTAACAAAACTTTCACTAGAAATGTATTTGAATGAATGTCTCATTTACGCTTGGCAGCGTTTATGGTTCGTTCATATTTTTTTTTTTTTTTTAATTTGCATTCGCGATTTTAGTCGTGTTTTCCAGCATTACCAAGCCTGCCAAGTCGATCATGACAATTTTTTTAACAAATAAAATTGAATGTTTTGCAGACCTCTGAAAACGATGGTTCCCGAACGTACACTTCCCTTGTGAAATCAACAGAAGACAGCGACATTGAATATATGAATCAATTACTTGCTTCTGAGTATGTTAATGTTTAAGTGGATTGTTCGTATTTAAGATGAATAGCGCTAATCCTTAAAAGCTGAGGTAAACAAAATGCCGATGGTATGTGTCTCTGCGAAGCTGCTATTTCCACCCCCCTATCATGTAAACACTTAAATAAAGAGGAATAAATCATTACCTTGTCTTTCAGTGGTTGGGCTATTTTAACATCTCTGTATCGATTATGTACTCATTCCTTTTCTTAGGGATATTTCCTGTGTCTGCAAAATGCTTGGTCTGATTGATTGTCTGACTGTCGTCCATAATATCATTTACATTATTGAATGAATTCGACTTCGATTTTCCAATTCTTGGTTTTCACCTGCGTGACTTTTGTCTTGACGACGGCTGCTATCCGCCCTGTTGGTGCCCAAACAATTAGTTACAAATGCAATCGTAGTAAGGTGTGTGAGAAAGTAGGAATGGTTCTTTGTGTAGTTTTCGGCTGTGGCAGCAGAAGTGATCGGGACAAAGGGATTGGATTTTATCGAATACATCAGTTATTAAAAATAAGTCTTCCTTCAAAGAAAAATTGACAACAGAGATGAGAAGAAATTAGATACAAACGATAAGTCGCAGCGACACGATGTGAGAATAAAGATAAAGATAGACCAGCACGGACTCCCCATGCGGCTTTCGTGGTCACGTCGCATTACTGCCTTCAAATTATATTTTTTGCTCTACAAGCATGTCTTAAAGATTCTTCCTTTTTATAAAAGATGATCGGAAGCTTTGTAAAATTTGTTTTCAGTAAAGGCTGATTGTGTATCGGACTCCACTATTCCATCAATATTTGTTTTAAATTTTTAACTGCCGGGTGGCACGTTGTGACGAAAGGCAATTAACGTTCGTGACCTTTCGGCTTTTGTGTATATTTAAAGGCCGATTGTCAAGAGGCAAAGCTGACCCCTGCCAGACACCTTTCTATGATGTTTTCTGGGTACCCTCTTACTTCGAGGCTTTTCTTGAATTTCAAACGGCCCACTTCAAATGTTTTTTCGAAGAGTTAGTTCTAGGCTATCTTATTGCTTGCCTTTAATGAACCATATTTTACGCCTGGTGGGTGGCACGAGGCGAAGTGCGTAATTGGAAAGTCTCGGTCTGCCTCTAATGAGTTTGATATCCCAGATGGAATTTTTTGCGAATCTTTTCCTGTTGAAAACCGTGGTATCGAGAAAAGTGATTTGGTTGATTCTCTTATATTTCAGCCGTGAATTTGATAGTAGGGTGGAAATGGTTATCCCGTTTAATTAACCGATTTACCTCTTTCCTGTCGCAATCCCAAAGGGAGAAAACGTCATTAATGTAACGTTTCCATTCTTTTGGTTTGGTTTCGCTTTAATTGTTGGATTAACTTCTTTTCGGTTTCCGCCATGAAAATATTGGCAAATGGCACTGCTATTTTCATACCCAAAGCGGTTCCTTGTTTTTGGAGGAAGCTCTCCTCAATGAATTAAAACGAATTTTCTTTAAGGATTAAGCCAAGTATTTCCTTGAGGTAGTGCGTTGGAATCAGTGCGTTATGATTGAGGAACTTTTCGTATGTTTCTCATACTATATTTGTTCCTTTTTCTTGACGCATATTTGTGTACCACTTTCTGCGACAATCCAGATGTCTACAAGAGGATCGTTCATCTGCTGCTAATATCTCACCTTCGCCAAAACTACAATCTTGTTAACAATCTCTGCTCCTTGAACCGATGTTACGAAGCCAGACGCCATTAGGTTGTACGCCTCAAGACTTTTGAATGCTTCAAATTGCTTATTTGCACAATAACTTGTCTCCAGGACTAAATTAGAAAGAAGGTTCGAGACCTCTATCGGAGACAGACATTCTGAGTTGAATTCAGTGCTCGCTTCGAATAGCTACTGGATCGACACCAACCACATAAATTTTCTTAAAATACCGCTCTCGAACGTGGCTTTCTAGGTCCTCTGCTTAGGTCAAAAGCACAGGTATCCTAAGGAGAATATTCTCTTGTAATTCTGGATTTTTTCCACCGGAAATATCCATAAAACAAAGTATTTGAAAGAGGGTGCGGTAGAGATGGCGATATATTTGCATGAAATTTCACACCCGAGATGAGCACCAACATGACGGACGCTTAATTTGCATAAATGCATGACGTCAGCTGCAAACCGAGAATAGCGAATAAGAGAAAAGCGGTTGAATCTGCTTTATTGTCGTTGTTGTTATTTTGTTGTTCTCTTTAAATTGGCGGGAAAATGAATGAAAAAGACAGACAAGAAAATAACTACAGAAATCTCTTCACTTAATTACACTGAAAAAACTATGCTCGACTTCCTAATTCTGTGCTTCCCTACCGATGCAACACAAATGTTATTGAGAGGAATGCGTGGCAAACCAATTGAAATATCGTAGGAATCCCTTGGGGGTTCACGCGTCTTAAATGACGCCCAAGACTTTGATCCTCTGCAGGGGTTCAAGCGTCTTGAATGACGCCCAAGACTTCGACCTTGGAATGTGGAGCACTTAGTTCAAGGTCGATCAGTTTGTTAACCATGTCTTCCAACATACCAAACCACCGGCATAAGCTTAAAAACAGTGTTT